ACAAACGCATCGCTCTTCGCCCGGTTCATGCGGTTCACGTCGATATCGACCACTGCCGTGGTGACGACCACATTCCGGAAACTGAACCGCGGGGCTTCAGCCAACAAGCGACCTTCGGAAGCAACCATCGCTCCGCCATCGTAGATTGCCCGACCTGCTTCGTTGCCGAGCAAGTTGGCATAGACGTAAGCGGCATGAAACGCCCTTGATCCTTCCAGCACAAACCGGCGACGAACTTCCTGCTTGCCGAACGCGAAGTGGCTGGCGCTTGGGTTTAAGATCAAATCGACGCCTAGTTCGGCGAGACGTCCCCCCGGCCGCGTCGCAACCCAGGCATCTTCGCAGATCTCGAGACCGACCATCACGCCATCGAAATCAAAGACCAAGTCCCCCAGCGGAATCTTCTGGTCGCCTTCTTCATAATAGGTCCGTTTGCCGCTCGGCCATGGTTTGAACCAGCGCGGCTCATAATGGATCCCGTCACCGGCGAGATTCTTTTTCGGGACCAAACCCATCAGTTTGCCATCGGCGACAATCGCGGCAACGTTGAAGACCAAACCGCGGTACGAAATCGGCAGGCCGATGCAAGCCACTAAGCCTTTCGTTGCCGGCAGAAGCTCTTGCAACTTTTCCCAGGCCATGCGTCGCATCCCGGCGGAAAGAAACGCATCTTCGCAGCCATACCCTGTGATGCACAGTTCCGGCAGGCAGACGATGGATGCCCCCTGATCGCGTGCCGCCTGGAGGGCATCCAAGATGTTTTGCGTGTTTCCTTCCCAGTCGAGCGGCGTTTGGTTGAGGACCGCAGCGGCAACTTTGACGTTCAGCACAATGAATATTCCCCGAAGTTCGTTGTTTCCCAACAAGCTACCCGATGCCGATGTTCGGGTCTATCGGACACCAAGGGGGACACATCGCAGCCAAGCAAGGCTCACCCCGATTAGCCGTAGCCTAGCTCGTCAAGATCCTCTTCGGTCATGCCGAAATGATGTCCCAACTCGTGCAGAATGGTGATCCGGATCTGCTCCTGCAGTCCTTCGGCGGTGACTTGCCCATTGACGTATCGGGTTTGCGAAAGGATTCCTTCGCGGAAGATCTGAATGACATCCGACGGAACCGCAGGCCCTTGAATCGATCGGTTTGATAGCGGGATACCGGTATAAAGTCCGCACAACTGACGTCGGCTATGTAGCCCAAGCTGCCGCAACAATGCATCGGACGGGTAATCTTCGACGATCATAGGAACTTTATCGAGCAGCGTCGAAATCGATTCAGGCAAACGAGCAAGTACGTGCTCGAGATGCAGATCAAACGTTTCGCGAGATTGCGAGTCCATGCGGGGCCTCATCAGGGATAGGTACGTTATCCTCAATTATCCGCACCCAGAACCGGCCGACCACCCCGCTGAAAATATCTGAAAAAGTTTGTCCCCTGTCCCCCCAAGATTCGCGAACAACGGACGAATGGGCCTTTGGCAAATTGCTTGCAAACGAAGCCTCGGCAGAGACAATGAGGACATGATTCAACGCTTTTCCATTGCCAAACTGTTCGTTCTAATCACCCTCGCTGCGGTGGCCTCGCTTACCATACGCCAGGCAATCGCAGGTTCCGACTGGGCCAAAGCGGTCTCGTTGGTCGTATGTGCCGCCGCATTATGGGTTGTCATTCACATGATGTTTGGTGCAATCGGCTACGTGATGATGAATCTGATCCAAGCAATAACTCCTAAAAAAGGCCAGGCCCCCTTCGCAACCGAGGTGCCGGCTCCACAAATCATTCCGCCGAAAGAAATCGACAGCCAATAACGGCGTGTTGCCGTCAGGCAGCTTGGAAAGTCCATCGTATGCCTTCTCTTGCTTCGTCTCGTCATGTTATCCGCACGTTGGCTGTCGGATTGCTTCTAGCCGTTTTGGTACTCGCGCCGCTGCATGCCGCGTTTGGAGAAACGGGCCGGGTTATTCGATTGCCTGCGCCTCCCGACAAGCCTGATCATGGACTGTTTCTGGCAATCGATACGCGTTGGATCGATGGCAGCGGGTATCGGCCGATACGCCTCACGGTTACCACTGCCAATGGCCGCCCTGCCCCGGCCGATCGCCGGATCGNNCCGCAAGGGAAAAGTTCGGCCGACCACACCGTCTTGGTGCCGCAGCAATTCCTTTGGAACACGATGAGCGTTCTTACGTTTGAAGATGGCAACAAGCTTGACGAGCTATCGAACCAAGGCTTTTCGGTTGTCTCGTTCTACGCCAATGGCTTTTACACGGAAGCCTACCCCTCGACGATTGTGTTCCACCGCAATGCCCCACCTCGCGACTTGCGATCAAACTGGGTTCTCGAGCAAGCAACTCTGGAAGAAGAAGGTAAGCCAACCGTCGAGTTGCCCGACTTGCGGATTTTGTTCAACGAACAGACATTGCCCAACAACCAGCAATTGCAATCCCATTTCAGAGACAGTTCGAACAACACATTAACAGCCCTGGACTTCCTCACTCGTAGCGATGTCGCTCCTTTGACCGATATGCCGACGACCTGGCAAGGGCTTTCTTCGGCCGATTTCATTCTGCTCGACCGAGAAGATTTCACCACGCTTCACGATAAGTACCCAGATCGATTCGCGGCGCTGCATAACTGGATTTTGTCTGGCGGCAACCTGCTTATCTGGAATGCCGAGCAAGATGGTCCTCAGGCAATCGATCAACTGCTGGGACACAAAGACACGGACGATCGACCGCAATGGCAACGGATGTCGTCCGAAGATGTCGAGCTTCGAGATCTCGGTATTTTCAACAAGATGCGACAGCCAGGCAATCGATTCACAGCCGCTAATGCCGGCACGTATAAGCCTCTTGGAATACGCAACGGAAAACTGGTCGAAACAGACGATCGTCAATCAGGTAAAGTGACCGATCCTGGTGATTCGCTGCAGCTTGCGACTCGCGACGAAGGTTTCGGACGCATGCTGCTGGTCCAGGAAAATCCATTCCCAGGCTCGGTTGGGTCGTGGGAACGTATTTTCGCGACGTTTGAAGGGCAACGCTTGGCCTGGTTCCAACGGCACGGCATGTCGCGGCTTCGCGAAAACCCCGGTTTCTGGGAGTTCTTAATTCCTGGCGTCGGTGTCGCCCCTGTCACCACGTTCGAGTTGCTCATCACGTTGTTCGTTATCGTAATTGGGCCTGTCAATTACTTCCTGCTTCGCTCGCTCGGCAGGCTCAACTTTTTGATTGTCACCGTTCCTGTCGGAGCACTTTTGGTCACATTCCTGCTGATGGGATATGCCTTCGTTTCTGATGGCCTGCACACGCAGTCAAGGATTCGCTCGGTGACCCTGCTGGACCAACATACCGGCCAAGGGGCAACGTGGAGCCGTCAATCTTATTACGCCGGCCTGGCATCGTCCTCGGGGCTTACGTTTCCTCTTGATACGGCGATTTACGACTACGAACAGTATCCGCTCACCCAGCATACCGGGCAGAAGCGATTGAACTGGGGTGACAACCAGGTCTTACGCGGCGGCTATTTCCGCTCGCGTGTCACGCAGCAATACTTGGCCATTCGTCCGTTTGAAACACCGTTGAAGCTGAACATCTCCTCATCCGGCGATCAGCTTTCCGTCCAGAACCAACTAAGCACGAACGTCTTAAAGTTGCTTGTCATCGATGACAAACAAGACACTTTCTACGCCGGCAATTTAAAGACCGACGCAACGTCGACGCTCCAGCCTGCGACGCCGAGCGATATCTCAGATTTCCGTAGAACGATTAACGATGCCGGTCTGAACATTCCGGAAGGATTCGACCGCCGGGCCTATGTTCGCATCGATTCGCGGCAGCACAACTATTACATCCAAAGCTCGAACACCCCCGAGCTTTATCTCGCTCCCCCCACGTTCGGACAATCCCTACTCGAACGTCAACTGAGCGACCAAATGGCCAAAGGGTTCAAAGCGTTAGGCCCAAAAAGTTATGTGGCCATCGTCGAACGTTTTCCGGAGACGCCTCTGGGGCTGGACGTTCGTAGCGGTGAAAAAAGTCTC